ATCGCACTGCTGAATCTCGTGAAACACACCCGCTACTTTGGCAGCAAGTTTGCGAACCCTTTCGTGTGTTTGTACTCTCTGCTGGTGCAATTCTGTCGCCGCAGATGAGCTCAACTTACTTGTTCGTGTAAGTTCTTTCAACATATACGTCCGACGATGCATTGCTGCCTCAAGAGCCGGGATGAGCACCGAATTGAGCGCGGTGAGCTCTTGATTTGGGTCTGGCTTGAGGCTTTGTGCATCTGTGCCACTCGCGCTGGATGTTGTTGTCTGGGACACGTTTGTCTTTGTTGTAAGTGGCGGCAGTGGCTGTTGGTTGGCAATCGAGGCTGGACCTACTGCTAACTGACCAGAGAGCATGGATGAGGAGTGTGGAAGAGGTTGTTGGCTGACAGGTCTGGAAGATGTAGATTGTTGTGACCTCTGGACGGGTTCACCTCGTCCTGGCTTGCCTTTGAAAGGCGGGATTTCAGGGATGACCATTTGGGGTTTCTTGCCTGGAGGAGTCTGCCCTTGAGACGGCGACGATCTTGGGCTGTTCTCGGCATCGAGCTTTAAGAATCCCATCTCTTTGGCCAGCTGAGCCTGGAATGCTTTGTTGTATTCATTCGACCCAGGACTGTCTTTGTGAGGTGGCACAGGTGGATTTTGCGTCGCTACACGAGCAGCTGGCGTCTTCGGGGCGGTGGAAGGTACGGACACCGCGGACGGGGCCTTATTTTCGCTGGGAGCAGAGATTGTTGTTCTCACCGGAGATGGGGGTAGTAGTACCTTTGCAGGGGTTGGGAATGCGCCTTTGACGGGCGACTTCTGAGGCGACGAGGGGACCTTTACTGTTTCATCCCAGTCTGATATGCTGTGTGCTGAGGTTGCAGGATCTGCAGAGGCTCTTGCGTTTGTGGCAGAGTCATTCATCGGTCGAAGTCCCGGCCCACGACCTCCCACGGGTCGCACGGTACCGAAATCCCAGAGGTCTTCATCCTCTAGTTGATGAACCGCCGCTCTGATGGGTTCTTCGTCTTCTTCGTCATCGGAGACACGGTTGCCGCGAGTTGCCATGTATCTCTCATTCCTCTCAATGAGTTCGGTTAGGTAAGTGGTCTTCTTCGCTTTCTTGACAAATGGATGCTTCAATAGTTCTTTGGCAGAGGGTCGTTCCTTAGGGTCTCGGCGGAGACAGAGCTCGACAAAGTCCTTGAATGTGCGAGAGAAATTTCCCTGTAAAGTCGGCGGGGGATTCTTTGGAATGAGAAAAAGAACCTTCATGGGGTGTATGTCGGCGTAGGGTGGTTCTCCTTGTGCCAATTCGATTGCTGTAATACCAAGGGACCAGATATCCGCTTTATGATCATAGCCAGATTGCTTGATGACCTCAGGTGCCATCCAGAATGGAGTGCCCACGAAGGTATTCTTCTTGGTCATGGTCGCTGAGAGTTGTCCTGACACACCAAAATCCGCAAGCTTGACCTGTCCGTTTTGGCCGAGAAGCACGTTGGCAGCCTTGATATCGCGGTGCAGCTTCTTGTCGGAATGCAAGTAGTCCAGTCCCATGAGTAGTTCGCGAATGATGATGCAGATGTAATCTTCATGGATCAGGCCTGGTCTCATCAGGTCTGAGCAACTGCCGCCCGAGCAGAACTCCATTATAATCCACAGGTCCGAGCCTTTCAGGTATGAGCCGTGGTATTTTGTCACGTATGGCGACTGCAATTCCGAGAGGATCGATATCTCTTGTATGATGTCTTCGACTTCATCTTCGGCATTTTCCACATCTATGACCTTGATGGCTACCGCTTGACCTGTGCGCTTGTCCACTCCCTTGTACACTTTTCCGAAACTGCCCCCTCCAATACAGCTTTGCTTGGTATAGAGTTCCTCCGGGTCCATCTTGTCTTGTGTTTGTGTCTAGGCCGACACCTTGTGGGACGGTAGTGTGAGTGGTGCGATCTCGACGGCGCACCGCGGGACTACCGTAGGGCGTGGTTCGAAAGTGGAATACACGGATGTGAAGGCGCTGAATTGGTCGTAGAGTTGCTTCGATGCGAGGATCGTAGTCGACGCCGAAAGACCTGTGATTTCGCCCTTGATGCCAGTGCAATCTCGAGATTCGGGCGAAGATGCACTGTCAATTCCTCAGTGCGCATTGGGCAGGTGCTATTGTTGATGGACGCCTCCCCACCCTTATGGGCCCTCTACCCTCGTCATTAAGGGTTCGTGAAGTCGTCGCTCATTTCAATTCATAGGTAAGGCAGCGCCCATTCACTTGTATGGAGTGACCAGTGGTGTTGGGGAAGATGAAACACCTCGACCATTAGCTTCGTTGTGCTTGTTTACGGCCTTCCGTTCTTGGTGACCCCTACCGATTCCTATTGGCTATACTCGTTACATTGCGATTTCGAACACGACAACCAGTGAAGATGATGCGTTACAAACCCCTTGAAAACATTTTCTGTAGTCTGCTTCATATCCTCATTTCGACCCAGGGATTGTAGAGTACAAGCTTAACCACCTCCGTCCAAAACACCTCCGTGGACTGGGGCCCATACAAGAGTCAGACCTGATGGTACTAACTAGTGGTAGCAAGTTTGATAGCGCCTCGCGATGCTTGTCTACTATCGAGACTACTAGCCTCATCATTACTCCAGAAATTCCACCATGACCGTCCCATTCTTCAGACCTGCACTTTCTATCGTCTCATGCCGGACATCCAGGAGGTTCTTGCCCATTGATACGAGCTCGAATGGCATTCCTTCCCTACCTTCAAGTGGTTCCGCCTTGAGAAACTCATAGATCCGTTGCACAAGATCTTTTTCTGCGAATCGACGAACGATGCGTCCGCCGGGATGTCTGATTTGTACTCGCGTCACTCCCGGCCCGGCAGGTGGCTCTTGATGAGGGTGATCAGACGGGATTTGTGTAAATGCAGTCGATGGGGCTGCTTCGTCAATGCCGTTGTGGTCAACATCCATTGCACTTGTAATTTCTGGCGTTTCTGTTCCTTGGACATCCCCAACACTCCGGGTGAGATCATCCGGATCTTCTGCCGGAGTCGATTTGTGTTCGTGACTCTGAGTCGCCAAACTAGCTTGCAACGCTCGTTCCAGCATTTCCTCCTCCGTGAGCTGATCAATGGGTTTCTCCTTTTTAGCCTCGGATTTCCTCTTGGCCACTGGGTTGCGGACGTTGTTCTCAAGACTGTATCGATCCAAAAATTCGTGCAGTTGCATGAGAAACTCAGGAGGTGGAGGAACTTTGCGCGACCAAAGTTTGATTTGTTCCCCCGTTCGAGGATCAACGATGGCGACGTGCGGGTATTCATTCTGGACCTCATAGTTGGGAAAATAATATTGGACGTATTGCGAGGCTCTTGGATCATCCCTGTTGTATTGGAGAAAGATGAAATTCTCCCTGACCGTTTCCGCGATCCCTTCGTTCTTCCATATATCGCGGTTCAATGCCTGGCAGTCAAAGATCGAAGGATCCTGGATATCCACCAGTAGCCACTTTTTGTGCTCCTTGCCTTGGTCTCTTGCCGCTTCCCAATCTCCCTTGTACATCAGATCCCACGGAGGTTGAAAGAGTCTGGCAAGTCGATTCGACCTCGCGGAAGCCTCTGACGCTCCACCGGTAGACTCTGCAAGTATATCCGGACCGTTCGAGGTGGCACTCACATTTTGCTCCCAAATGGAAGTCGGCTGGTGTTGGTTGAAGATTCCTGCCCGCGCTACTCGAATATTAGTCACATGTCGCAGCCTGAGATGGTCTAGGATACTGACCTTGTTGCCTCCTTCTCTCCAGGGCCCGCATTCGTTCTTCTACGGACGAGGTGTATGCCACTTCCCTCATGCCCGGGATGGTTGACCCTGACCCCACCAAAGTCTCTGCCTGTCGGGCAATGGGGGCCCGCACAATATCGTCCATGGCACCCTCTCCGTACATTTCATTTTGTAAGCGCCGCGCCATGGCCTCATCATCTTCATAGTCTAGACCCAGTGCGGGTCCAGAAGCAGTGTCTCTCAGAGTATTTTTCCGGAAACCAGTGATTTCCGGATCATTGTCATCGGAGATATTATCGTCCGCGTCGGCATCCAGGGGATTTAGGGGGCCGCCAGGCATACGTGGATCAGAAGAAGTTGTTGGTGGTGGAGGTGGAGGAGGACGAGAGGTATTGCCTGCGAGGTCGGCGCCGCCATTTTCGAAAAACAACTGAACTGCTTGATTAGGATCACCGTCGGCAAGCTGTACATATTGCGAGGCCAGCTCTGGGGTCGTCCCGCAGACGGAGACAACAGTGGCAATTGCTTCATCCATAGTGAAGGAGGAAGATATAGTTCTCAGTAGGAGAAGAGGTTTGTGGACTGGGTTGGTGATATGAAATACAGACGACCCTGACAGAGGTCTCGAGGAGAGAAATCATGAAGAAATTGAAAGTGGGATCATTGTAGGAAACGATGCGTCAGGAAACGATAGGAGAAGGTAGAGGATGCCATGTGTCAAACAGTAAACTGCCAGTCACTGCGGCCAGTTGTGATGGGGGGGTTTTTTTTGTTATGAGGCAAAGGCAGGCACAAGACGAGGCACCGTGCACAAGGCGGCGAAGTTATGACGAAAAGGGCCGGCGTCACTGCCCGATAATACACTCAAGGTGATCGAAATGAGACAAACATGCCAAGAGATATCACTTTAGCGGGGACTTCAAATGACAAGTCATGCTGGGTGAGAGTAGGGCGGAGCACAGAGCTGCGAGATGCGCGACAGGGGCAATGTGGCGCGAGTCACGTGTTAGATCAAGAGTGTCAAGTCCAGCCGGGGCTAAGTGGTGGCACGCTCCTTCCCTCGAAACGCGGTCGCGTCGACTCTTGGCAGGCGCGACTTATGGGAGGTGCATGGCTGGGATGCATGACTCGCGCCTGCCACTTCTTGAGTCGTGTCCCTCGCGCCTTCCACAGCTTCAACTTTCTCCAACTCCAACCCATCAAAAGCAGCGACGACCACATCAAATGGCTGCCACAGTGCTGGGAAAGCGTTCTCGACGAGTTCTGGATGAACAAGGTGCGTCTCAATGGTCCAACGCCTGAATCTTGGGGAATATTACTGACAGGATGCATTGGCAGATGGGCCAGATACACCTCCCAGCCCAAAAAGACGGACGCGACGCTCTGTACCCGAGATATACCAAGATGCAGCTGAGAACAACGTGTTGGGGAAATCGAACACTCGTCTTGTTGGAGGTCGTAACGGACGAAAGAATGATACTGTACAAGACAGTCCTGTAAAGAACAACACAAACACAACCAAGCCCATTGGACATTCCAACCATCACACAGACGAAAACCTTCCACCCTCAATCGTATCGACTCCCACCAATATTCGTTTCAAGGATGCTCTCGCTCTTTCCGCTCCCAGCACACCCAAGCACCGAGTCCGACTTGTTGGCAGGCTTCTCACCCCTCAATCGTCACGGACATCCACACCAGCAAGATCGCAAAATGTATACTCGCAGGCCCGACAGTTGTTCACTCAAGCCGGGAATGGAAAGATTATTGGTCGGGAGGCTGAACGTCGTCAGTTGACCAATTTCATCTCCAAGGCGATCGAAACTCGTCTCGGAGGCTGCACATATGTTAGTGGGCCACCGGGCACTGGTAAGAGTGCCTTGGTCCAGGAGATCATGCAGGAATTTCAAGCCGAATCTGTCACAAGCACCACGATCAATTGCGTGTCTTTGAAGTCTTCCACTGAAGTCCTCGCGCGTCTGAGCCAGGTGTTTTGTCCTGGCAATGGAAGCTCAAAGTCATCCAAAGCTGCCTTGGCCAAATTGTTCACGGCAAAGAAGGCCAAGTCTGAGATGCGTCTCGTCTTGCTTGACGAAATCGACACACTCCTTGGGGGTGATTGCGAGATGTTGTACAGCATCTTCGAATGGGCTATGCACCCTTCATCCACTCTCATCTTGATTGGAATTGCCAACGCTCTGGACTTGACTGATCGCTTCCTGCCACGGCTGAAGCTGAGGAATCTGAAGCCCCAACTGCTACCTTTCCTGCCATATTCCGCCCAACAGATCTCTACCATCGTCTCGGATAAACTACGATCTCTCATAATCAATGGAACCGCGGACGGCACTGGCTCCATTCCTCTGATGCATCCCGCGGCGATTCAGTTGGCAGGAAAGAAGATATCTTCTCAGACAGGAGACCTACGAAAGGCCTTTAGTCTGGTCCGTCGTGCCCTTGACCAGGTTGAGCAAGAAACCCTCTTGAAGATGAGTCGAGAACAGAGTGTGACGCCGACCAAGCAACCACTCCAAGAGATTTCCAACGTGGCCTCTACTCAGACTGTTCCATCTCCAGTCAGGAGGGATGATCGGTCAGTCCTCAATCATCTTACCTGGGAGACGGCGCCAAAAGTGTCTATTGCACACGTGGCGAAGATTGCGGCGACCATTTTCAATAACGGTACTCTTTCTCGCTTGGGCGGTTTGAATCTCCAACAGAAGGCTGTGCTGTGCTCATTGGTGGCTTCCGAAGCCCGTCAACACCGCCGAGATCCCTATACCACCCCGTCCAAATCCGGATCGAGGCTTCCTACGATCAAGAGTCTGTTTGAAAAGTATGCTCAGCTATGTAAGCGTGATGATGGACTGTTACAGCCGCTCAAAAATACCGAATTTCGAGACGTGGTTGCCAGCCTCGAAACCTTGGGGTTAGTGCAGGAGGCGTCTGGGCGCAGCTCGGGCTTGTTGACACCAACCAACACGCCATCTCGAAGCGGACGAGCGATGGACGACAAACAGGTGGTAAGCGCCGTGTCTGAAAAGGAGATGCGAGATAGCCTGACGGGGCCAGGCTCGGATTTGCTGTTGAGGCTACTTGAAGAATAAAAAGAATTAGGCAGTAATGAACTTCTGTGTTTGGTTTTTGCATGGCGCGGCAATGGATTTGCATGGAGCGAAGGAGCCTTTGTCTTGGATTATTGTTCTAGGCTGCTTACTCGACTGGTTGATGCCGGCCCCTGGTGGCTTTCTTGGGGCTTGGGGGCTGAGGTGGTACTTGGTCCAGGAGGGAATAACCGAGATGAAAGACCTAATCGTGGACTATGAACTCTCCAGCCCTAAGGCATCTTGGACTCGTAATCGACCTCAGTAGTCGTTCTGTACGGTTAATGGGAACAAGATCTCGATGTATTCCCTTTGGGGGACAGCTTAGGGCTCACGATTGCGCGTCACTCATTGCATCCAAAGCCAGAAACTGGCAATTGATCGTCGGCTGGTGGCCAAGCTTTTGCTTAAGCTTCTAGGCTTGAGGCCATGTTTTTTGCTTGATGCGCAGTTGGGTGGCACGGGCGGGCGGGTCAGTGGGTGGGTGGGAGAGGTGGTGGCCAGTTGGTGCCAGTCGGGGTGAAGTCTCCAGAGGAACCAGAAGTCTATTGTATACTTGTCCCAAGTACTTTAGTCCTTTCATTGGAGCTGACGAGGGTCATAGTGCCATCTGCCATCGTCGATAATCCTGCAAAGACAAGTTCAAGAACAGGTGGTGGGGGCCTTCTTTCGAGTCTTGACCATCACCCCATGCTGAGCTGATCCATGCGCCCTCAAATCTTCCTTTGCCAGATACAAAACTCCTAAACTATCCGCCGACAAATCCCTGGCCCTCGACCTGCGCTCTTCCTTCCTCTCCCTCCTCGATTCTCCCAAACTGTCAAAGTACAAATTACCATATCCTTGTTTTTCCAGGGTGTGCGCACCGAGTGTTTACCTCGGTCACATACAGTCATCAACATATGCTGGCGCGGATACGCGCGATAACACCCTTCCCCACATCCAATGGCCGAGAACGATCCCAACGATTCCAATATTCCCGCGCTGCGCAATGGCGGAGTCCTTTCCCAGGCGGACAAGATAGGGCCTAAGCTGGTCGGTAAAACAGAGAAGTTGGAGGAGAGATATCGCGGAGGCACGGGAACGGATTCCGAGAAGAAAGAGAAGAACGGTCCTGCTGGCGGGTACGACGACACGCCTCTACCCAAGGCACCTCCCGGGTACACTCTCAAGATCACATTCCACAAGGCCGAGAATCTGCCCTTTTCCGACTTTGGCACTCTGTCATCGGATCCCTATGTCCTGGCGGTTCTGCGTACGGATCTTCCCAAGAGGCACAAGCAGGATCCTGATCTCAAGTTGAGGACACCCACAATCCACCGCAACACGGACCCAGAATGGGAAACCGAGTGGATTGTTGGCAACATCCCAGCCAGTGGCTTCCACCTCAAGTGCAGATTATACGACGAGGATCCCTCGGATTACGATGACCGACTGGGAAATGTTCACATTGATGTTCCCCACGTTGATGAGAGTTGGCAAGGGTTCTCCCACCAAAAGTTCCAATTGAAGAAGCGCATGGGGAGCAAACGAGCATACACCTTGCGTGGATGTGCCGCCTTGATCTCGCGAAAAGTCAAAATGAACGGGAGCCTCATTGTCAGTGTCGAGAATCTCGGCCGGACAGACGCAGAAGACGGTGGTCGCGCGTACACGATCGGCCCATTGCCTTGGAGTCGGCATTACTCTCCTCTGATCGGGCGGATAGCGGGCACGAAGAATACAGAGCAAGGCAAAGATGGAAAAGAGGTGCAGAGATACAAGTATGTCCACGCGTGGAGTGTTTTGTCAATGGCCACCGACTAACCCGTCTCCCAGTTTCCAATCTGTGCAAATGCAGTTACGTGGACCTGTCCCCGCAGATCTCTATCATCGATACGTCGAATTCAGACCATTTGTGGCCGGCATGTTTACGGCCCATACTATTCGTGGTCGCCTGCTCAATCGCGCGTTGCACCATCAACATGCTCGTATCTACAACTACGATAAAACTACCAAGTATGGTGTCTTCCAAGAGCCCTGCCCCGAGATGACGAAGCTGTTCCTCGAAATGGTAAATTATGACGAGGGGGGTCGCATTTTTACCTATGTCTTGACGTTGGATGGGCAGCTCCGGTTCACAGAAACGGGCAAGGAATTTGGGATCGATCTGCTCAGCAAACACACCATGCATAGCGACGTGAGCATCTACATCGCATTCAGTGGCGAGTTTTTCATTCGCAGAATCAAACATGCAAAGGCACACCGGAACGACGACAACGTCCATCCGAGTGATGAGACACACCCTCCAGCAACACCACCGGAAGAAGAAAGAGACAACATCGGCACGAGCAGCAGCAGTGGCGGAGGTAGCTCCAGTCAAGCCCATGACGCACAGCCTCTGACAAACGGCACAGCTACCTCTGAGAGCAGGGAACCGTGGCATTACGAACTCGTCATTGACAATGATTCCGGGACGTATCGGCCCAATGCGGCGAAACTCCCCCTTCTTCGTAGCTACCTCACGGAAAACTTCCCTGGTCTCAAGGTTCGAACGCTCGACTGCCAGGCCGATGCGGACCTGCAACAGAAGCTGAAATCCGAGCAGCGGGAGAAGAAGAAGCAATCCCGTGGTGGCAAGCAGGTCATGTACCTGCAGAATATGAGCTTGAGCAGTCTGAGCTCGAGCGATGAAGAGGATCTCGCCACCCGGATTGCTGCGGACGATGATGGGCAGATCCACGAGAGCCGATACAAGCGGGAGATGCACAAGTTTATGGACGGAGGTCGGGACGAGCATCACGGCGACGACAACGACGGTGAGCATTATCATTCTGGTAATGGGATCGATGCAGAAAAGGGTAAAGAGAAGGATGTACCTGCAAACGAGCCGACCGCTGCTGGGACCGAGAAGTAGGGAGAAGTAGTAACGCGGTACTGTTGAGGTTGCAGTCACGACCATGTCGGCTTTCAGGAGGCGAAAGACGGTGTACTGTATATTTGTGCTTGTGTTTTGTGTTGGACCTTTTGGGAGGATTTGAGCGAGCGAGCGAATAACCGGCTGGATCTGGCCCGGTCTGAGTCTGGGTCCAGGTCTGTCTGATCACTTGGGCATGTTCTCATCGCTCGGAGTGAGTGGTATGAAGGGAATATGGGAGCACGGGCCCGTGTGTTTTGAACTACTCAACTACCGACTACCTATCTACTGGTGTAGGGACATTTATGTATTCAGTCCCTCGTGGTATGACCTTGTCAGGACAGGACAGGGTGTATGTCTATCTACTGTTTGTGACGCCATGCTAAGCTACGCAATGCAATGCGATACCCCTTTTGGTGTTTTATTCTTGACGATCTCTGTCCTGAGGCAAAACGCGTCATTAGCTTTCTACTCCCCTTTTCGGCAGTGTGGTGATGGGTGGTTTTGATATTATATCGCTCCTACTTTTTTCCAGCCCCGTCCTGTATATACACAGTAGATACCTGTAGCGGTTGACCTCCATCCCACGAGCAGGCGAGTCAGGAGTATTCGACCGTTGGGGCATTTGCGAGTCTCGAGTTGGGTGTGTGCTGTTTTACCTAACTACCTATCTACACGGTACATATCATACATGACATGCAGTACGAGATAGATAGCCCACCTCCACCTCCACCTCCACCTACGATCTATTCCATTTCCCAGTTCCACTCCCCACTTCTCGCTTCTTATACTTCCCTCTTCTCTCCACGACACAGTACATCTCAAGCAGACACAGCCGGCGGCAACAACCCCTCGTCCTGATACAACCGAAACCACTTGCGAATCATATCGTCCGTGTAGACGGTCCCCGCGAACCCCGCCCTCCGGATCTTGATGCAACTCATAAAACTCGGGTCCGTCGCGCCCTTTGCAAAGACAAAGTCGGCAAACTGCGCGCTCTGGCCGAGGAACTCGTCCAAGGGCGGGGCTTTGAGCGAGTACTTCTCCCGGATGAGGTCCCAGTCGGCGCTGAAGGAGGGGAGGTCGCGCGCAAAGGCGAACGGTCTGTCCGGACCGGGCTGCATGCCCAGCGAGTGAGCGATCAGGGGCCAGTCTTCGCGCAGGGAGGAACTCTCGCCGTTGGTGAGGTTGTAGGTCTGGTTCTGTGTGGTGTCGTTGTGGAGGAGGATGTATTCGCACGCCTCGGCGATCAGGTCGGCGTCGGTCGATTCGAACACGCCCTGGCCCCGGCCCGGGAAGTAGAGGGGTTCGCCGCGCTCCTTGAGCACGGCGGCATAGACGCCGATGGTGGCGTAGAGGTTCATGGCGCCGCCGATGCTCAGGCCGATGATGAGCGACGGGCGGAGGATGTTCCAGCTCCAGGGCTGGCCCCGCTGTCGCGCCTTGAGGTAGTCCTCCTGGGCCCAGTAGAAGTTTTGGATGGAGCGGTCCTCGTCGCGGTCCTCGCGCGCCCCGTGGCGGATCGGGTGCACGTGCACCCCGTACGCCTTGGGGCCCTGCAGGATCGTCACGTTGCGGAGGTTTCTGGCTGACGGGGCGACGGCCTCGACCGTGTTGCGGAGCATGAGCGCGTTGCGGTCGACGTGCTGCTTCTCCTGCCACCCGGCCACCAGGTTGGGTTCCTCGTGCAACGCCGCGAAGACGATCTGCACGATCCCCGTCAACGGCGACAACAGCGCTTTGCACGCCGCTTCGTCCGAAAGGTCCAGCGAGTGCCACACCGCCCCGTACGTGTTCAGCGGCCGTCGTCGAGACACGGCAATCACCTTGTACCCCCGCTCACCGTAGTACTGCATGGCCGAGCGTCCCACCACCCCCGTTGCGCCCGTGACCAGGATCTGTTCGTCTGCGTTTGCCATGATGCCTGCCTGCCTACCTGCTTGCTTGCCTTGCTTGCTAAGTGGACGAGTGTCTCCTGTAGAGGCCGATCGGGTCCATGTTGATCGCCTACTATCCCCTTTCTCCAAGTATACGCATTCCCCATCGCTGGGCCCGAGGAACTCGACGAGCGTCACAAGCTCGGTATGTCCCAATTCAGGATTGCCGA